CGACCATGCCCGAGCCGGCCAAGTCCGCGCCCGCCCCGAAGAAGGGCTCCAAGAAGGCGGTGACCAAGGCGCAGAAGAAGGACGGCAAGAAGCGCAAGCGCAGCCGCAAGGAGAGCTACTCGGTCTACGTGTACAAGGTGCTGAAGCAGGTGCACCCCGACACCGGCATCTCGTCCAAGGCCATGGGCATCATGAACTCCTTCGTCAACGACATCTTCGAGCGCATCGCGGGCGAGGCGTCGCGCCTGGCGCATTACAACAAGCGCTCGACCATCACGTCGCGGGAGATCCAGACGGCCGTGCGCCTGCTGCTGCCCGGCGAGCTGGCCAAGCACGCCGTGTCCGAGGGCACCAAGGCCGTCACCAAGTACACCAGCTCCAAGTGATGTGCTTCCGCCACTATGAAACCCAAAGGCTCTTTTCAGAGCCACTCACTTTTGCATCTTGAGAGCTGTAATATCAAGATTTTAAGAAACATGGTTTTTTTTTTTTTTTTATAGACAACCCTCTTTAAAATGTAAGTATAATGTGATGACTTCATTGTGAGCTTTTATTAGTGCAGCAAAGAATTTGAAATAATTGTGTGCAGTAGGAGCTATTGTGCTATAGCCTGAAAATGTTGTAGTATTCTGGTTTTTATGTTTTAACCAAAACCTTTATTCTCAAAATTATCCAAAATAATTTTGTACTTGGGTTCTTTGCTAGGACACAATGTCATATAACTACATTTTACTATGATGTGGTTATATGACATTGTGTCCTCTTGTGTTCCTCACACGGCTCAATACCCCACCCGTGGGCATTCAGTAACTATTGGTTGAACTGGCTGGATTATGAATGAAAATGTTCAGAGAAGCCAAAATATCAGTACTTTAGTACCTCAGGTGAAATAAATAGAATTTCATTACCATTTCAGGGACTTTGGCTTGCTAAGAGTAACTACCTTTAATTGCATGCTTTTAACAACATGAAGTTATTTGCTTTAAACTTAAATAATCACAGTTCAAGACCAGTATTTTTTTCTATTCTTAAAACAGATAGGCATTTTGTATTTTAAAGCCATGAATTATCTCTATGATTACTTCAAATGTGCCCCCCAATAGCAGAGTGAACTGGGTAGTATCTATACGCAGGCACATAAAGACTTCTAGGCAGGTGGCAGGAGGTGAGGTAGGTAGGTTAGGCCTTTCCTGCTAGTCTTGGACATGTGGGGTTGGCCTAGTCAGTTATTGTAGCCACAGAAGGTTTTTAAGCAAGGATGTCCCTGGCCCAGTTACGTGTTCCAGTACATCAGACCTCAACTCACCTGTGAGTTCACTTGAAGTTGGCTAATCAAGAAACAGCTTATTCTCATCTACAGAGATATTCACAGATGCCTCTGCCATTGGATTTTTTTCTCATATTCTTTCAAGGAAGGGCTGATGTTGGCCTCAGTATGTTAGCTTTAGCTGGTGTCTCCTAGTTTTTGAGCTCTAGTTCTCACCTGATAACTGTCTTCCAAGGTTTCTTGGAGAATGAAAACAGTTCCTAGCCCAGCTTAATCAAAACTGACAAGGAGAATTCAGAGCTGCAACCTGGATGGGTAGAGGAGCAAATGTGGTCCTGGTTGGAATGGTGGTTGTCTTATGTCATCCTCAGCTCCTGTCCCTTCAGGAGATATTTAGTGACCCTAAGTGAGTTGTCAGATACGGTTGTCGGCATTGGGGTACATCAGCGAGCAAATTAGATTGTAGAGAGGTGTGTGGATGTAGATTTCCTAAGTGAATGGGGAGGGTGGCTGTTCCAACAATAGGTAGACTAGTTTCTGTTAGGGTCAGCCTGGCTTCTTTAGTTGGTAGCCTTGTTGCTCATTTTAGTTACACCCGCCACCACCCTGGGTGAAAACCCAGAGCCTTCCTCGGTCTTGATTGCCTCTCCTGAATCATCTCAGATCTTCTGGAGGAAAACTGCCATGCAGATTCAGGCCTCGGCACCTGAAAGAATCCTAGGAGGGAAATCAGTCCTGGCAGCACTCCCGTGGGGCAGAGGGGTGTGTGTGTGTCTGCGGACTTGGGTAGAAAATTCATGCATGCATCCATACCACAGCTTTCAAGTAACTACAAGCTGACCTAATGCTGGCAGCTAGGTCATGGCATTCCCCTGTTCAACATAAACTATTTCACAGAACACAGAAGTGATGAGACTAGATGAAGTCTCCTGGAATAGAAAGGGGACCCAAGAACTGAGCCAAGGTAATCCTGAGTGCAGACGGGGGTAGTTTTCTTTCTTCAGCAGGGCTCTGTAGTATCCCATTTGATATCAATTCTGTACCCACCCACCCCCATTCCCGTTTTGAAATACCCCTCATGTGATGGTGTTAGGAGGTGGGGCCCTTGGGAGGTGATTAGACCTTTCGGCTGGAGGAGCCCTTTGTAAAAAATTAGTGGGATTAGTGCCATTAATGCCCTTTTAAAAAGACCCCAGAAAGCTCTTTGGCCCCTTGTTTTTGTCTTATGAGGGCGCAGCGAGAAGTCAGCAGTCCATGAACCAGGAACTGGGCCCTCAGATACTGAATCCGTCGTCGCCTTGAGTGTGGAAGTCTCAGTGTCCAAAACTGTGAAAAATAAATGTTTGTTGTTTAAGCCAACCAGTCTATGGTGTTTGGATTGTCCAAAATAAAAACAGGAAAAAAATAAACCTCACGCTTTGCAGCAGGCTGATTTAAGCGCAGAAAGGCGGAAGGAGGCGGAGGGGCGGAGAGCCAGGGACCGGGGGAGGGAGCTCCTCGTCCAGAAAGCGAGGTGAGGCCTCGGGGCCCGGGGAGAGTTAGACGCCGAGTTAGAACCCTGACTCCTGGGTCAGAGCTAATGGACAAACTGCTTAGCCTCGGGCTTAGGGAGGGTCGGGCCTGGAAACCGAAAAGAACAAAGCCCAGCGCCACTGAAATGCAGCGCCCGGGGCTTGGGGAGGGCGAGGACCGCGCGAGGACTGGAGGGAGCCGGGCGCACGCGGAGCCCAAAGTGTGCGGGTCTGTCCTGATGTCGCCCCGGGCAAATGTTTAGGATTAAACACCCAGCCTTCCGCTGGCAATTTTTATTTTATTCAATCTGGCTTCCCCCGTTTGCTGTCTTTCTCTTCCCATCCCGTTCGCTTTCTTTATCTTGCCTGCGCCCCGCCACCTCCCCCACCCCTGGGCCACCTCTCCCTCCTGATGCGCCCGGGGCGTAGCTGCTCCTTTGTCCCCGCGCTCAGGCTGGCTGAGGCCCGTCCTGGAGGAGCCACCACCCACCACCAGGTGCCTGAAGCTGCTGCTAAAGGTGAAGGCCCAGCTGACACCAAGCACAAGAAACCGTGTCCGCAGAACCGCCACAGCTCTTCCCGAGGACGTGGGCGGCCCTGAGAAGGGCCTTTGCGGGGGCACAGACGCGGCTGGTGGACGCGGGGGCTCAGCCGCCGAAGCCGTAGAGGGTGCGGCCCTGGCGCTTGAGCGCGTAGACCACGTCCATGGCCGTGACCGTCTTGCGCTTGGCGTGCTCCGTGTAGGTGACGGCGTCGCGGATCACGTTCTCCAGGAACACCTTGAGCACCCCGCGGGTCTCCTCGTAGATGAGCCCGGAGATGCGCTTGACGCCGCCGCGCCGCGCCAGGCGCCGGATGGCGGGCTTGGTGATGCCCTGGATGTTGTCGCGCAGCACCTTGCGGTGGCGCTTGGCGCCGCCCTNAGTGGGCGGCCCTGAAAAGGGCCTTTGGTGGTGAAAATGTTTGGCTGGTGGACGCGGGGGCTCAGCCGCCGAAGCCGTAGAGGGTGCGGCCCTGGCGCTTGAGCGCGTAGACCACGTCCATGGCCGTGACCGTCTTGCGCTTGGCGTGCTCCGTGTAGGTGACGGCGTCGCGGATCACGTTCTCCAGGAACACCTTGAGCACCCCGCGGGTCTCCTCGTAGATGAGCCCGGAGATGCGCTTGACGCCGCCGCGCCGCGCCAGGCGCCGGATGGCGGGCTTGGTGATGCCCTGGATGTTGTCGCGCAGCACCTTGCGGTGGCGCTTGGCGCCGCCCTTCCCGAGGCCCTTCCCGCCTTTGCCGCGACCAGACATGATTACCACAGAGAAACAACAAATTACCAGTTCACCTGGGCTGAAAAAAAGCCGAAATTCTTATTTCTAATCCTGCCTGTACCTTTCTTACGCTACAAAGAGAGCATGGGCTGAGCGGGGGGGTTCGTCGCCGCCCACGCGCGTCTGCAAGGCTGTGGGGCGGAGCCCGAGGAGACAAAGGCAGCTTTGTGAGCCCCTGCTCGGTCCCCGGATTCGTTTCAAATGCCCTGTTGAAGAACATTTTAAAAATTCTGAAAAAAATAAAAAGTAAAAGTAAAATAAAAAATTCTGCTGTGTATCAACATACTGAAATAATTGTACCTATATCAAACTAACATGTTTTTCTATTTTTAATTATTAGGATCCTTACCGTGGGGAAGGTATTAACGAAATTTTTAACCGAAATTATACATTGTCTCCTATTTTAAGCGCAGATCTCAAATGTGAACCAGTCCCAGGCTTTTCTCTTGCCTGAGTGGCATCTTTGAACACTTTAAATGAAGGAAAAGTAGCTAGTGACATTGGTAAATGGCTTTAGAGAGCGAGGAAGAACTGAAATCCCTGGGCAACAGGAGGGCCAGTCTTTGGGTGCTTGTCCTTGGGAAGCTTGACCCCACTGCTTGGGCCTCAGCACTTCCTATGCCCCCACCTTCTAGGTCCAAGACCTGTTTTGTGACATGTCTTCTCTTATTTTCACTTTAATTTCATCTGTGAAATGGAAATATTCATCTCAACATCTCAAAGGTGTTTTGACAATCAAAAGGTAAAATTTAGGTCAAATATTCAACACAGTCAATGAGAAGAAAAGAGGTTCTATGAAAAGTAACCTCCTAAGGTAATCTGATCATACATTTTTAACTGGGCAGGTCTTGGTGGGAAGACACGCCTCAGGCATATAACTTCTAAAGGTTATCTTTGCCCTAAGCAAGCCTTATGCCTAGGCTAACACACTTTGAAAGGCCACAACTACCCCCCTCTTTTTTCCCCAGGCCTCTTGAGGTTTAACCATCCTCCAGGCAGCATGTAATCTTAACTTTTGAAAACATCCGATCCAGGCCTTGTTTTCTCCCATCTTTATGTAATCTTCCTCAGGTTTCCTTAATTCCAGATGCAGAAACAACAATAAAAAACACTGCAAAACTGTTAGTCTTGAGAGCATTTGAGAACTTGCTTCCCGGCACAAGTCCTCTATAAATTTTTCTACAGGTTTGGACATTTCTTAGGTGGACAACAGTAATTACCTGAGAAAATTAATCTTCATGTCCCATGGATTGATTTTCTCCCCAGTATCCTTAAATCTCTCAATCTGGTATTTTGCAACCTGGACCTGTGTTCATTTGCTTTCATATAGTTACCCTATAAAGTTTTATAGTAATTTTTCATCCAGGCTCTATGTACTTATTTTTCTCTACTAAGGTTTCACAGTGTGAGAAAAATTGAAACTTGAAGGTAAAGAAAAAGCATAGGCCATGATGTCCTATATTATAAAAGGTGAAGGCCAGACAAGGTTCCTATGAACTTTGTCTCACTGATTACTATTGATTAAAGTTACCAAACTTAGTGAAGTTACTTGTTAACTTGCAGGGCTTTATATGGTGGAGATGCTAATAATTTTTGCCCAGTGGAACAGCTATAACTCCAAAGATTTATATTCTTTTGGACGTTAACTTTCTTTTACCCTAATTCAACAATACTATCCTAACATTTTTTTGTTAAATTTTAATAAATACCCTAATTTGTTAAATGTTCTTTGAACCTATCATAGAGTTTTCCCATTGCTTCACTAACTGATAAGTTAGATAAATTCTTTGCCATGGGGTCATTTCGTATTTGTTGAATCATGATTTTTCCTTTTGAAAATAGTAAAATCCATCTTGGTTTATGTTTTGTTTTGTTTTGTTTTTTCATCTTGGTTCTTGACTGGGGACCCTGTACACATAACACAGATTAGCAAGAAAAAAACAAACAGAAGTTTATTAATATCTATATTTATATATACATGGGAGAGACCCAGGAACGATTAATTCATAGAAGTGGTTTAAAGCTCCAGTTTATATAGCATCTTCAACAAAGTACAGTAGAGTCGTAGAGAAACAACAGGAGAAAGGATACAGTTTTAGGCTTCCTAAGGGTGGCAAACTGGGCAGGTAAAATATATGGGAAGAAACTAAGAGTCAGCTTCATTTGCAGATTTGTGTGCCTGTGGGCTGTTAAAAGTCACTGATAAGAGTCAGTGGCCTCCAGAGTTTATATCCTGACTTTAGGCAGAAAAAGGGGAGGGAAAAGAGCTTTTCCTGCAATTGCTGCTTCCTAACTGCCTATAGCTGAAAATAATTTTTGTCAAAGAGGCATATTTTGGGGTGACTATTCTGGTTTCTATCACTTTCATGTATATATAATCTTGATAATCTCCTATACTCTTTTGAACTGTTTACCTCCATGATAGTTCCCTTAACAATAAATTATATTTTAGAAACACCTGCTATATTTTTGAGGCTTGGTATATATTATTGTGAATTTTACATTTTGATAGCTGTCAAAAGCTAAATGCACAAAAACTACTAAAGCCTAGACAGTAAATTAGAGACAGTAAATTAAGATACTCATTTCATTTTATCTCCCTACACTTGGATACCAATGATTATAAGTACAATTCTTTCATACTAAATAAGAGTATAAGGCTGCATATTACTTAAATGGGTTTGAAATGAGCCTAGTTAAGTTCAGGGGTAACAATAGCCTTGGTCTGAGCCAAGAGGTAACAGAGGAAAGGAAATTGGCTAAGAGGACTGCTGTGGTTTCTGGCCTTAGAGGAACAGGTCAATCTGGTTCCCAGGTCCTGCACTGTAATCTAATTGGTTTAACCAACGGACTTAAAAATTTTCATTAGGAATGCTGCCATCAGTAAAATTTAAAAAGCCCGCCCTGACATGTGATTGGTCAGCTATCCTTCCTTTGTTCTACCATTTCTTTTTTTCATAGTTTAGACTGACAGCAAGTTTACTGGAATATAGTGTATATATTATTATGTACATATGTTTACATAGTGCACATATTCACAGAACAATTTAAACATGTTGAGACATGGTCTCAATTCCTACCATTATGTCACTTAGAGTCCTAACTTATGTCCTGGCACAGGATTGAATGGCCTTCAGTACAAGAGGCTGTCAGAAACCTAGTTTCATGAATTTTCCTTTAATACATTTGGTTATAAAGTGTGAGCAACGGTTTAAAGTAAACTGACCTCTTTGTGGCAGGTATATAAAACCTTACCAACCGGCTGTTAAGAGGCATGTAGATTTAAATACGTCTTCTAGCCTTAGGCATTTCACCTTTTCAGAAACAGTGGGCGGCTCCCTACTTCCTTAATGGGGACTGTTAGAGTTCTAAGAGCTTCACTTTAGACCCAGAGGGCCTGCTGCGCTGACCACCGTTAATTGCTTGGTACAAAGTGCCTCTATCCTTTACTTGGCTGAAGCCAACTTCGTTCATATTGTACTTATCAAACGGATGGGAATAACTGTAAAGGTAATTTTTAAATAGTTGCTAAAATAAGGAAAATGCAAGCCCTTTCAATGAAAACGTGGGTGGCTCTGAAAAGAGCCTTTGGTTTAGAGTTATCCGAGTTGTGCCAAACGAATGCAGGCTTTTACTTGCCCTTGGCCTTGTGGTGGCTCTCGGTCTTCTTGGGCAGCAGCACGGCCTGGATGTTGGGCAGGACGCCGCCCTGCGCGATGGTGACCTTGCCCAGCAGCTTGTTGAGTTCCTCGTCGTTGCGGATGGCCAGCTGCAGGTGGCGCGGGATGATGCGCGTCTTCTTGTTGTCGCGGGCCGCGTTGCCCGCCAGCTCCAGGATCTCGGCCGTCAGGTACTCCAGCACGGCCGCCAGGTACACGGGCGCGCC